CAAAATCCCCCAACGCCCCCATCAAATCATCCTTCAATAAGTTGTACCTGCTCTTATTGTCATTTTCTCATATTTTATCTCCCTTTTTGGCGTGTCTCTTGTTGTTATCTCTCTATTCACCATTATATGCGGAGAGGACTTCGAATACATATCCGTTGACCCGATTTAAACTTGAAGAGCGATTTCCTCCTTGACGTACGTCAAATCGGAAGTAAGGGCTGATTTTTAAGTCAACTTTTCCTTTATAGTTGTCTACTTCTCAGCTAATCGATATACATATATATATATATATATATTTTGACTATATTTTCGATCTCTGTCTGTTCCATTTAACATAAAAATTACGTTTTAATTCATTTTAAAATTAAGGATTTTGGTGTGAAAATTGTCTATACTTTATTTGAATCAAGAATATGGATCCTTTAAAAATTACAACTGAATATAGGGTAAGTGTATGAATTACTGCTGATGCGCCAATTACTGCGATTTTTATAAAATTAGTAAAACTTAGTAATTGAGAACATAAAACTGTTTCAAAATGACTTTAAAACTTATTCCAAATGATATTTGATATTATATCCACTAATGATGCATATTTCGACTATTATCAAATTATTTATTCAAGTTACAATTGAACCTATCACAGTAATTAGAGCATGCGTATATTTTTCTCATGCTGCTATTACTGTGGTCTATCCAGTCAACCTATAAACTCTAAATCAACACTTTTAGCGTTGCAGTAATTAGTGCACACCATTCGCGCAGTAATTCATGCAAACTTGCAGTAATACCAGCATATGCCATTTTCAAAAAAAAAGTTAATATTTTTAATAATATATTTGTTATTTCTTCAAGTTTAAAATATCGTTTCTATTTTAATAGACACTAATAGTGATTTAACAAAAAGAATTAAATCATTATTTCATTTACACCTTTATTATTTTATCATTAAAGTTGGTCTTGGGTTGTACATCACAGTAATTGGGACATTTACCCTAGTCAAAAAATATTTGATTTCATTGGAAATTAGGGCTAATAAATATTTTCTATTTTCGGGCGCCAACTCCCCTGTTTTAATCATTTTTTTTTCCATTGATCTTATTTTTCCAAATGAACCACCTATTTCAAATAATTATTATTACAAATTCATTGAAATCTGAATAAATATTATTAAAATTATTAAATTTTAATTAATAAATTAATTAAATTAATAATAAATAAATAATTAAATAAATTAAAATCGACATTAAGAAATTATTTTTAAAAATAATTTCAATGAAATTGCCTAAAAACCAATAAATTATTAAAAAGTCTTGAAACGAACATAACCTTTAAATTCAAGTCATTTTTGGCGGGAACTCCACCTCCACTTGCGGCTATATTGAAAGTCTTGAAATTTACATAACCTTAAAATTTATGTCATTTTTGGCGGGAAATACAGAGAGAGAGATGAGGAAAGGGGGAAGGACTTACTGCTTTATTAGGGTCTTAAAACAAACATAACCTCAAAATTTAGGTCATTTTTGGCGGAGGAGGGGAAATGAGAGGAGGGAGGGGGGACTTGCGGCTATATTCAGACCCTTGAAACGAACATAAGCTCAAAATTTAGGCCATTTTGGAGGAGGAGGGGAAATGAGAGGAGGGAGGGGGGGACTTGCGGCTATATTCAGAGCCTTGAAACGAACATAACCTCAAAATTTAGGAGGGGAGGTTCCCCCCTCCTAGGTCATGAATTCTTGAAATTAGTTTCGAAATTTATAAGGAAAAATTATTTAAATGTTAAATTAATTAACCTTAATTTTAGTAGAATTTATATTGAACCGAATTTTCATACCAAAAATTTTTTATATTTAACCGAATTTTTATACAACAGACTCTACAGATCCGCATCAAATTTTCACTTTGCTGGTTTTTTTACTCGCAATTGAATTAAAAAACAGAAAATTTCCACACCTTTTCTACACGGAGAAAAATGGAAAAACGAATAAAGTAACTTTTACTACTTTAAAAGTAAAATTGGACCTGTCCGAAGTTTCTGCGCATCTCTGGCAACTTTTACTCGAAAAATAGTAAAATTGACTATTTCTGTAGTAAATTTTACTGTTTCCGTAGTAATTTTTACTATTTTTGAAGTAAATTTTACTATTTTTGGAGTAAAAGTTGCCAGAGATGCGCAGAAACTTCGGACAGGTCCAATTTTACTTTTAAAGTAGTAAAAGTTACTTTTTCTTTTTTTCCGTGTATAAAATAAGATAAAAGTGAAAAGAATAGAAGAAAAAAAAGTATAGAGAAAGATGTAGACCTATAATAAAAAGTAGATGATAAAGTTTAAGGGTATATATATATATAGTATAAAGAATAAAGTTGGCAATCGTAAAGATATATAGAAGTCACATAAGGGAAGGGCGTGTTTGGTGTTTCCGATTCTATGGACGCTTGACCTATTGTCTCTGGGGTTTAATTTTTGCCCCCTGCTAGTATTTTACCCCCGTGGGTCCCTCCCACGTCATTCGAAACTGACTTTTCTAGAGTATTCAACGTCGTGCGTGACAATGCTTGGTTCTCGGTGTAGACGAGAAATTGCACAATGCGACAGCAATCATGAGCCGCGCCCCTGTCAGCGGGATTTCTTTCTTTTTTTTTTTTTTTCTTCTTGTTTTTTCCCTATTTATTTGGAACCCATGGAATACTTTTCTCAATGAGTTCAGAAGCATCTGAACTTTTCGATAAGAGGGCTTTTTTTTAACAACAGATTGGTTTTTCCTTTAATTGACTTTTTTATATTAAAAAAAAAAGAATATTTTTTTTTTTTGTCATTTTTATTACCGGAGTCTGTTTAGTTTTTTTTTTTTTATCTCCCACACATATTTATAAAAGAGACACCGCGACGTAGTGTTTATTTTCTTCAGTCCAAAGAAGATAAACAAATGGTGGGACAGGAATGGAAAAAAAAAAGTGACGGGAAGGGTGCATCGATTCCCTTTGGAGAATTGAGTGCGGGGTTTTGTCAAGTCGCACGTGTCTTATAACTTACATTTGGGCCTTAAAAAAAAAAAATTAGTTTAGAAAACAATATATGAGACAAACAAATTTGTTAAATATTTTGTTTTTTCTATAAATAAAAATTGTTTTTTGATTCTTGAAAAAAATGACTTTCTTATAAAAAAAATTTTTTTTGAAGAAAGAAAGAAGTTTGGTGCAATAAAAAATAAGATGAATGAAATGTCGTGGGAATTGAATGCATCGAGTCACATTGACTTGGATAGGGTCAAAAAATGAATATGATTCCTCCCTGCTCTTGAGGGACTCAAAATGCTCGGGTTACATATACAACACAAATTCCCTGTTCCGCATACGAAGGGAAGAAGATTCATCTGCTGCGCGACCTAGCTGTCGGAAATTCGTGATGCAGCCGACCCCATCAGTGGATCCACGAAAGTGTTTGCTCGCCTCGTCCGATGGATGCTTTGGTTACGCGGGGGTTGAACTGCAAACAATGATCAGGTTTCATCCGCGCTCTCTTCTCTCATTCCCATTATCCCATCGTTCCTCCTCCTCCTTCACTCTTATATATATACTTAAATTTAAATGTTGCCCTTAAAATAGAATCAGAATTTTTGAAACAAAAAATAACAGAGTCATCCTTTGCATTTTGAAAAGGGCTTAATTGGCTGTAATTACACAAACCTTGGGGGAATTATTGTCAATTATAATACGAAAATCTGTTGGAAAGAAAGAAAAAAAAAAATTAATTTTTTAATTTACAAAAAAATTTTAAAGTAGTGAATAATCGAACGTGGAGGAAAGAAAATAAAATCTGGATTATAAGATGAAATGAAGAGAGGTAGTGAATAATCATTAGTTATTACAGAAGGAAAGGGGGGAGGGGGATAATAAATCAAAGTGACAGTGACATTGAGGAGAATATGATTGAAATTAATAATAATTATGGAAAGGTGAGATATTAGAATAATGAGAGCGAGAGTTTAATACTCTTCCCGCATTGAAATGATTACTATATACTATGGCAACCCTTTTTCCCCGTGTGAATGGCCGAGGAACGAGAGTATGCCTGCGGGGGTGCTATATCCATTACGCTTATTACAACCCCCCGACCATCGTCACCCCGCAACTATCCATTCTCCCTCTAACCACCCACCCTTTTACGCGAATGAGCATCGATCGACACCCAACGATGAACCAAACGGTCCTGTCCGGTTAGGTCCGTTTTCAGCCTATATATATATATATATGGGCTCGTCAACGCACCAGGTAACATTTTTTTTTTCCACCATCTGCTCTTCAAAAAAAAACAATTCTTTTCTACTTTTCAAATTTTGCAATTCAAAAACTTTTGTTAATCATTGTGAAATAAAAAATAATTAAATAATTAATAAGAAATGAAAAAAAAATTTTGCATAAAAAAAAAATATTGAAAAGAAAAAAAAATTCTTTTGTTCTTACACCAGGAATGAATGTATATATATATATATATATATATTTTGAACTATCCAAATTCCAAGCATCGTTTATCTCACAGACTGAAGAGGAATCCGCACGTGTTCATTGAATGGTTTTTTATAAACTTTTAAAATGGACACTTTAAAATTTACGATTGAGCGTGTCGAGTAATGGGTTTCCCTGCAAGTGGAGTCAAAAGTCATTTGAAAAAAAAGTAGAGATAAGAGCGATGGAATAAAACAAGATGAAAAAAAAGAACGGAAAAGACGAAGACTTTGACTGAAACAGCTGTTTAAAGTGTGCCTATATAGATTTCTTATATAAATTCTTCTGGAAAAGTAGAGAGAGAGAGAGAGAGAAAGACGTATAGCGAGAGTTAGTTTTAAAAAAAAATAACACCCTGAAAAAAAATTAAATTTAGAAAAGTCCTAAATATATATATTTTGTTTTTCAATCCTTCCTTTTTAAAATTAGAAATATGTTTAATTTTGTTAATATTTAATAATATTTATTATATTTTTATTTTTTTTTATTTTCAGAAAGATGCGTAGGCGAGACAAGAGTTTTAAACGTTTCGCTATATATGTGGTCAAACGTGTCTTGAAAAATTAGCTTTTTATCAACGATTCAATCTCTCCTAATAACGGACACAGTTCCACTTCTCAACGACCATGTGCAAATAATCTAAGGTAAAATTTCATTAATTATATATATTTAAAACATTTAATTAATGGAAACTTTAGAAATTTAGCAAATAAATTGCGATTTTTGAATGAATAGTAAAAAAAAAAAATTCTAATTTATTTTTAACGCGGAGAAACTGGTGGTTATTATTATTAGGAAACAATAAAATGAATTTGATTACTTTTATTTTATTTATTTTTAAGAATATACATTAACGAAAGAAATTTCAATATATTTACATTTTTAATGAAAATTAATCTAGGTAGGATGATAATGTAAAAAAAAAACATATCATTAGACATTAATCTTTTAGAACATAGAGACAATGTTCAGGTAAAAATATATAATATTATAGTCTATATAAAAAATTATTGCAAATCAATTATTATAATAGATCCTAAAATTATCACAAAAAATTTAATTCTCTTTGAGAATTTAATATTTTACATACAACTAATTTGTAAAATGGCAACAAAATCGAATGCCAAAATTACAAAAATAAATTCGTAGGAATAATTTTAAATTATTGATAATATATATATACATAAATTATTATTATTTTGTAGATAAATAGGATTATTGTTAAAAGTTTTTACATTTGTTTCATCACTTTTAACAATAAATATATATATATAGTAGTCTTATTTGTTTATAATATAAAAATATTTTAATTTTATATTAGACGGTTTAAATATACTAATTAGCGAACTATAATAATTGATCTCTATATTAGTCTTTTTCGAAATACAAAAGATTCAACTTTTTTTTTTTGGTAACTGTTTGCAAATTGTTAATTAAATCACTAAAAATATTATTTATAAGTACAAAGAAATATTAAAGCTTGAAGTGCGAATATTTTTTTAAAAATTATTTATATCATTTGAAATGAAAATTGAAAAGATTCAATGACTCGAACGTTAAATCATTTAAAACGATATACTATACCACAGATTTTTATCTTCCTCTAAATTATTCTAATTTACAGATATTTATCAAAACCTTAATACAATCTAGAGGTATTTCAATAATATCAGTTTGATATATTCACATTATCATTTTTTTTTATATATTTTCACACAAAACCATTTTTAATATTTTGAAAATTAAATTTTTAGAAGAAATATAATAAAAATAATTAATTAAATTAGAAATTTGAATGATTTTGAAAGCATTCAAAATTTGTTAATATGCGTAAGCGATTATGATTAATCATATTTCAATTACATCTCGTGTGAAAATTAATTTTAAATTAATTTAGTTAATCAGTCTATATAAAACATAACTTGTTTTCCAAGTTATTTTATTAATTAAATTTTCGAAGAGCCGATTATTATTATTAATTTTTTGTTTAACATATAAATCCGATTAAATATATTTATATTAAAAATTATTTCATTCGTAAAAAATAAATTCGAATTGAAATATATATTAAATTTATTAATCTAGGAAAAATAATTTAAAACATATGTTTTTATTTCATTTCCAATAAAGTAATTTAATAACAATAATACAAAAAAAAGTAATTATTAATTACTGGTTTACTAATAAAAGTAAAGTAACAAAAAGTAACAATTGCACGGAAAAAATTAATTCAGATTTTATAGAACTATCACCAAGTAGCGGATACAGTATAGCTCTTTACAAAACTGAGTGTTGTAAAATATCACGAAATATTCAGGATTAACTCCAGAAATATTCAGTATAAACAACGAAATTTCTGTAGTTTATCCGAAAATATTCATCACATTTTACAAAACTCAGTTTCGTAAAGAGCTGTATCCGCTACTCCGTATTTTGTAAAATATACTGAATTATAATTTTTTCCATGTGAAAGAAAAACATTTTTTAAAAAAAACTCTTTTTTTGCAATTTTTCTTTTGTTAATAGAAATTTTCAATAAAGAAAAATTATATCTTCTATATATAATAAATAATTAATTATTAAATGAATCAATAAAGATAAACAAAATTACTTTTGCTCTTTACTTTTAAAACTGTTAATTATAAAACTAAATTTATCTCGAGGTACCGGCCCTGAGTTTGCTGAGACTTGATTAAATGAATAAATTAAATTAAATTAAATTATAATCTTGCAAGTTTAATTACTTCTATATAAATATAATGTTCAATTAAACTCGAATAAATGAAAGAAAAAAAAAAATATATATATATTAAAGAAAAATTACTTTTTATAAATCTCAAATGTAAATTTTCGAAAATTTTAATTCGTAAAAAATAATTTGTATTTATAACATTTTTTTCTTAAATGATTATTTAATACTATAATCGGTTCAAAATTCTTAACTTACCTCTGACGAAAATTAAGCAACTAATTAAATCTTTTAAAACTGGAAACGATTCGCTTGTTCTAGACTAGGGTGCCTCTTTTAGCAAGCGTACCAGAGAATTTAGTTTACCTTCCTCAGAGTTTCTGTACTCTTCAAGTAGCTGTGGAATGAAAGTATATATATATATATTTGAGATAAAATAAGAGTTTCTTTTAAGATAAATAAACTATTCGCAACAAATGGAATGGGCTGATTAATAAAGAAATAAAAAACTTTTTCAAAAAAAAAAAAAAAAAAGTCAAAATCGTCTCTCATACCTGATAAGAAAGCTCACAAGATAAAATTGACTTGGCTTCAGAATTGCAATGTGTGGCCGCTAAAAGTGTCGGAAGTGTCGACTGAGCAAGTCGTGGATCTCCATAAAATGGAAATGGTAATGTACATAATTGTTGGAGAACACTTGGACCAGCGCCAGCTGATTGCAAAATTAACTGAAATAAAAATATTTATTTTTTTTTTCATTTAGAAACAGAATTATTTGAATTCAAATAGAAAAAATAAATATAAATATATAAAAGAAATTCTATTTGTAAAATAATTTTATATTTTTACGAAAACTTTTTTTATAATATATTATTATTGACTAATTTAACATTTTTTTTTTTTTTTTTTTTTAATGTTATTAGGAAGTGTTGGCGTGGACCGTGAGAACTAAGGAATCTAATTGTATGCTTCTTATGGGGTTTTCGATGTGACAATCCCAGGTGAAACGGAAATAGTTTAAGACATGAACGAACGACAAGTGGAAGAAAACTTTAGTCCACCTGCACCAAAGTCAACAAGCAGGATGTACCCGTATGGCAGGAAATAATGTACCTGTTTCTGCAAGGAGTTCATTTGAAATTTAACTGTAAGGATTATTAATATAATGAAAAAAAAAAAACAAGTGTCTTAGAAACTGAAGGTTATAATGTTGTGGACAAGAAACATATCCTTATTAGGAAAAGAAAAAAAAAAGTTTGCGCAATTTCTTTCAACCGTGAATAATTTTTTTTTTCGCGAGTGCTCAAATTTATCTTAAATCGTTTTATTTTTCCCAGTTTTATATTGTATTTTTTATTCATTCTAATTTTTTACACATGCGGTGTCGGGAGTGGTCGAATTTTCTTAAAACCGCGTTCGTTCGATGAGAAAAGTATATTTAATTTTATCAGTATATTTTCGGGAGTGTTTCACAAATTTTTAAAATTCGCGAGTGAGTGTTTTGTGCCAATTTGGAAACCACCGTTCGAGTGCCGCTTCGGGATGGAGATCGGGCATGGGCGAAGGGTGTCCACGGTAAGATTTTTTTTATTTTATAATTATACACGGAGAAAAATGAGTTTGCTATTATATGGATAGCTAATTTTTAGCTACAGTAGCTAATATTTAGCTGTTACAGCAAACTATTTTAGCTATAGTAGCTAATTTTTAGCTGTATTAGCTAACGAAAATTGCTGTCCATATAATAACAAATAGGGTTAGCTAAAATAGCTAAATTTTAGCTAATATGGCTAACTTTTTTTCTCTGTGTAGAGAAGAAAAAAGAAGATTTTCTTTTTTTATAAATGAAAAATTTTAATTATTTTGTTTTTAATTTTTAAATAATTTTTTCTTTTTCAGACTGAAGGACAGGAAGGAGGATGCAGAGAAAGCATAGCCCCTGCATAGTTCCCCGGTCTCCCCGCATAGAAGAGGGGCCACTGGGGTACTGGTCCAGAAGAGGCGATGCTGCCATCGCTCCGTCGAGGGAATCCGCGATTGGCAAGTGAAAAAAAAAAAAAATTTTTAATACTATAGCGACACTAATATCATTAATTTCTAAAGAAATTAATTATTTCAGTAAATTAGTGTTTTTAATTCAAATTTTTAAAATACAAATATATTAATTTTAATTTTTTGGAAATTATTTTAGAACTTAATGAAATGTCAATTTGTGTTTTGCAAATTAATTTTTGATTTTAATTTTCAATTTTTTAAAATTAATTAATTCTTTTAATTTTGTGTTATCTCAAAATGGAAATTTAAAAATCACTTTTTTTATTTGTTATTAAATTTTAATATTAAAAAAGAAAATGGAATTATTATTTTTTCAAATTTTAAAATCAATATTAATTTGCATCTGAGTGGAATGTGAATCATTGAGTGTGTGTTGGTGAAAATTCGGTTGCTAGGGTTTTTTTTCTACAGCTATAGGTAGGCAGATTTTTTTCGCTGTATGAGAGAGAGAAAAAATAATATTTTAAATATAGCTATATAGGTAGGCAAAATAATTTTTTTTGTGTGAATGTTATTTGCATGATTAGTGTCGCTATGTTTTTTTTATTATTATTTAAATGATTTTTGTAGGAAAAAATATCTTATTCTACAAATGGGTAAGATATTTTTTAAAATTATTTCTTTGTATTATGTGTATTTTTTGTCTATTTCAGTGAGTTCATCGTGGTAAGAAACAAATTTTAATTATAATACACTAATCAATTATTTTTCCAGGTTTAATTATTATTATTATTATTTTCTATTTTCGTATTTGATGGATATAATTTAAATGAAAGTTTTTTAAAAATAATTTTATGAAATTTTGAATAATTACAATCTTTTTTTTTGAAAATTTTAATACCTTTTTTTCTCGACGATTAAAATTTGTTTAGAATAAAATGTATTTTTTTTTTTTTTTATCAATATCTCAATAATGAAATTATTGAAAATTAAAAATAATTTAAATTACCGCGTTTCGCTGCAAAGTTTGCGCGATTTTTTCGTTTTTTTTTTTCTTAAATCGAGTTTTATTTAACTCGTACAATTGAAATTTTTTATGCTTTTGAAAATATGTAATAAGTTTCGCACCTATTTTTAGCATAGGTAAATTCCTAGGTAAAAGTGTATTTTATTTCCTCGTGAAATAATTTGTAACAAAAAAATTTTTATATTCAAATTAATTTGCGCGGATTATTCATTTTTTAAATCACGTTTTTGACAGTGTTTTTTTTCTATAATGCTTCTATGTTATATTTTATAGTAAATAATTCCTTATTTTAAATTTTTTTGAAAATTATTATTTTTCTTCTCTGTTTTAAAGATTTCTCAAAACTTTCCAAACACTTAAGTCGTAGAATTTTTAGATTAACAAGATCTTTGATTAGAGTTATCTTCAGTTCATCCAAAAAAAAAGTAAAATATTTGGAATATTTTCTTCTAAAAACGGAAGCCCTAGGAATGTATTTTTTGTGTTTAGAATATTGAAAACAAAAAATATTGTTGAAAATTTTTGAATGTCACTGAATTTTAGAATGAAATAAATTTTAAACCAATGTGACTTAATCGGAAGAGTTGTGAGAGGGGGGTGGGGGGAAGGAAATGATTACTGATTTCGAGTGAAGCATCCAGAGATCTAAAAAGCGCGTGAGTAGCAAATGATGGATGTGAGACGTCGCCGATGCACTCAACGTATATTTTGTGTGATGCACACACTCATTCAGAATGCTTCATATATATGTGTATTAACAGGGCTGTTCTGATGTACACATAATGGAATGGAGTAAATATATCTTAACGGCATTCGTGGGCATTCGCCTGCATATTGATGGGAGGTCTGCTGAGTGTGTTGTGTCTAACAGTTCCTTCGTTTTTCCCTGTATTACTCGTTCCTGAATACATGGCGCCCATCACTTTTACTTTTGCCTTTTGCTCACTTCAAGAGAGTACTCGGAAATTAGAATATATTTTCACGGTCGAACTCATCTCACACGTTATTTTGTCGGTATATAAATTTCTCTTCCTATATATATATATATATATATATATATATATATAATTTTCTTTTAATAGTTTCCAATTTTCGAAATAATAAATTTCGAAAATACTCGAGTATTTCTATTTTTTCCATTTTATCAACTTTTTCGAATTACATTTTCGTCTTTGCTTTTTTTTTCATGTCTCTCATTCTATTTTCCATGGCTTTGAAAAATTCATTACTGTCTGGTTTTTTTTTTTTAATTTGACAGACACTTATCGAGTCTAGAAAGGTATAGAATATCCTGATGGAAAGTTATTTTAATTTTTCGATCTCATTCATTCAGCTTGATAGCAGTATATAGTATTTCTAGGAACGCAATTTCCATTTTTTCAAATACCAGTGTCATTAAATCGTAAGTCATAAAATTGATATCGGTATTTATCGTGGTTGAAGAGAGCGATTTCTCAGAATTACGCAGTAATTATCGTATATGATAAAACCAAAAGAGAAATATATATATATATAGGTTTGATATATTTATTGGTAATCGTGAGCAAAATATTTTCATATATATAACGTTAAAAAATCACCTCATCCTGTCTCTGCTCGATTTGGGTTGTATTTCAAAGTTATCGCGATAACGTTCCAAGTCACATTTTCATGGTAAAGACACGACCATTTATGAATATAGTTTGAGATTAAAATATATATATATATATACTGGGGGATGCATGAGGCGACGCGAGACGCGAAACAAGTTTGTGGTTAGCCTTGGCAATTCCAGTGTCGATCATCTCTTGTCATGGTTTCGAAAATTTGCCTTCTTATTCATTCCTAAAATAGTTTTTCAGAAAGAAGCACGATAAAAAAATTACTTGCGAAAAAAAAGCACGGGTATATTATTTTCAAAGTATACTTTTATAAATTGAAAAAAAAAAAAATCTTTCGTCATTTCAATTATTGGTCATTTTTAATTATCGTCAATTTTAATTACAACTGTTAAGTAATCAGAAAACTTTCAAATAATTAACGGGGTATTTTAATTAACTGACATTTTAATATGCTTGAAATATGATTTTTTTTTTTTTGACGATAAATTGATAATTTTTTTTTTTTTTTTAAATAAAATTTGATGAAAATTATAAAAAGTAACAGTGCGAGAATTGTTTTTATTAATAACAACCCTTTTTTTGGTTGATTCTTTCTCTCTGGATATATGTTAAAATGCAAGCTCTCCGCGTCAAATGCGAACAGTTCGATGGAGAAGCTTTGCATATAGACGAGATTTTTCACGAGAATAAACAAAGGCAGTGTGCACTGTTTTCCTTGACTTTCTAGTCAAGAGAAGGGGGCAACAAAGCCAAATAAACGTTTGTCATTTTATCTTGAAGCGTTTTCGATGTTTAAAAAAAAAAAAAAAAAAAAAAAGTAACTCCTCGTTGAATCGTAAGAGACGTTAATTGATAAACATTTATAGTTTCTTTGCGAAATAAGGAGACTTTCATTTATTTCTTTTAGCACGTTTCACTGACTTTGATGCAATAAAGTCTCTTAAAATTTTTTTCCAAAAATCAAAAATGAGTAAAAAGTTTTGAACGTTCAATGAACGAAATTTGTTTTGCGATTTTTTATCGCAAAATTTTTATATTTTTATAAACAAAATATTGTTTTAAATATTTAAAAAGAAGTTATTAATTTATTAATTGTTTAATTTACTGTTTTATTTTACATTAATATTGTAATTTTTAATAATTTATAGATTGAAAAAAATATTTTATTAGTTCATTTGAACGTTCAGAACTTTTGGCTCATAATCAAAAATGGAAATTTCTGCCTAAAAGGGTAAATTTGTTTCCGTTTTTTATATAGAGAAAGAATTATAACTTTTCGTATGCGAAAGAAAATAAATTTTTAAAATCGTAATTTCGGCGTATAGACCAATATTATCTTTTCTGCATTAACGAAATAAAAAAAAAAAAAAAAAAAAAAAAAGGAATTATAAAAAGTTTATCAAGGCGGCTAGGACTGAAATCGCCGATGCGGTATACGGACGACTTGAAAATATTCCAGCAATGTTATGGAATATCATTGGAACGCCAGGACTCGTTTGAGATTAGAGTATGCACTTATACACTTTTGTGAACAGACTCAATTCGTGACTCACACACACACACAGAATCCAATGAAGGAAACAAAAAATTTCGAAAGAATTTTTTCAATATATATATATATGAGAAAAATTGTTATTAACAATTAAAAAAAAATTCATGAGAATTTTTTCTTTAAAATAGAAAATTATTACCTGATTTTCTGGATTATTGACAGCAAAATATCCAAGAACAACGAAGAGCTCGTTGAGAATGTGCGTGTTACTGCTGTTAATACTTGTGGTAGCACTAAGTTCTGATTTGTCTGGCAGGGATTCGCGTGAAAGTCGCATTATAAGATGACTGGCTATTATTCGCCATTGCAAATTTGTACCTTCAGTGCCTAGAAGATTCTGTAATTAAAAAGCAAAATGAAATGCATATTTAGTTTAAATAAGAATTGAAATGAAAATTAAAATAAGTATTTAATTACAAAAATTGTTTGTTTGAAGGAAATTAATTTTTTTATCAGTGTATCCAAAAGAAGAAGAAAAAACAGGAATATTTATTTTTTAATTCATTAAAACGTATAGAATTTGTTATGCTTATGAAATTTGTATATATGTTATACAAAATGCAAAATTATTTTTAAAGAAACTTTATATTATTTATAATTTCTTTAATGGACCGTTTAATGGGGAAGAATTTATTTTTCATATAGAAATGTTTCTTTTCTATATATATGTGTGAAATTTTAAAAAAAGAATACAAATAAATAATGAGATGATAAAAATTTATTTTTTTGTTATAAAATAAATTTAGCATCTGTTTTCTTCTTAAAATGAATAATTTTTATAAAGTATACATTCAACATTCGAAAAAAGATTTTACCGAAAATAATTATCAGAAATTATTTTGAAAAGAAATAATATATTTGAAACTAGAAGACAAAATAATCAAAATTATTTGCGCTTTGTTATAATGTGAACAGATATATCAAATGAACAAATAAATATATATATATGAAGGCATAACAGACGTTTTGCGTGGGAAGGCAAAGAGAATAGATAATAGCGCATCAGGGTTGGTTTTTCGGCAAATGCGTCCTGCTGACTATAAGTGAGAGTATATGGAGCACTCTATGAAGCAAAGAGGGATAATCGAGTCATCTCTCTTGGGAAGGCTCCACATTCGCGCCCTAAGGGACTCTGTGATGGCTCTTTGGGGCTCTCTATAGGGCGCGAGCAGACACGGCGCATTTCAATTCAATTCGTGGTTTGATAGCCGTATATACTTGACTGACGAGTGACTTCGTTACCAATTTCAAATTGAATATATACATATAGTGTCACAAAGTCTTCATTATTAATCTCACAGATATTTTCTGACAGGCTTCGAAGTGACACACTTTTCCATTTTTTTTTTGGTCAGGGCTACTTTTTGATACTAATTTGGGCAAAAAGCTACTTTTTTCCAAAAAAAAGGTAAAAAAAAAATTGACAGAATTTAAGAATTTTAGTTTCTTTTGATTTCAAAAAGCCCGCCAATTAATGAAATTTATTATTGAACGCGTGAACTGCACTTTATATATGATTAGATGACAACTTCTCGCAGCTTGATTTAGTCATAAATGGCCAGTCATAACCTGTAATTAATGCTTTTATTCTTTTTGTCAATGCATAATTTATGAGTTATACCGGATTGATACAAATATAATAATAATTGTTATAATTAATTACTATTATAATTTATTACTAATAGGGGATGATTAGTAATTACTAATAATCAAAGTTGATATGTAACAAAAAGTAAATCGAAATGTAACAATTGATAGTTTTTTAAAAAATAATCAGGTGAAAGAAGTTGTTACTTTTACTCCTTAAAATGATGATCGTGTTATTAAAAAACAAATTGTTATGAAAGAACAATTACGTTTTATTATATGCAAAATGTTATGAATCAGTGCGTTTTACTTTCTAATGTAAAATATCGAGAAAAAGCTATTATATTTCCATGTTTCATGTTTATTTCAAAATTTAATAAAAATTTTGTGAATTCCTAATTCTAGTAATTTTTATTTTCAATTTTTTCGACAACAAAATATATATTCACTTAAATTTCTTACTTAAAAAACTAATTTACTTCATTTTTAATATGCTACTTTTTTTCAATTTAGAGGACACTTTTTTTCTTCAAAATGCTACTTTTTCACACTTTTTTTGGTCTCCTACTATAGACTTCGAAGCCTGCTTCATTATTATACTTCACATAATTGCAAAATTATCGAATGATCAAATTTTTTCTGGAATTATTATGGATTTCAATAATTTCTTTTCGAACTTGTATTATTTTTTTTTATATTGTAGGAGGGCAGGCTTGCCAATGGAAACTACCCACGAGGGCGTGTCAATCCTCAGAAGGAAAGTAAACGAGTAAGACATGTCCGGAAGGGTTGACGTGTAAAAGCTTTTGCCGATAGGACGGCAAACGCCGGCTGAGTTCGTAATTGCTTGATTACGTTATTTCAGCGAGTTGGCCTCCTCCATTAATGTCTGTCTCACAATAAACGTAGTAAATTGTCTCCGATTTGCGAAATTCACCACAAATTGTTGTTTTTTTTTTTTTACATCACAATTACATTAATAGAAAAACCTTGGCCAAGTTAAATATATATATATATATATATAATGATGAAAATTTGGAAGAAAAAAGTTTAAATTTTTTTTACCTGCAATTTTGTTAAATCCAATTCGGCAATTGATCTAAGAAGTTTGAGTCCTTGACTGGCGAGGGCTTTTGTTGGAGGCAATGGACCAATTTGATTTGGAGTTGGAGATGAGCCTTTCTGATTTTGTGATGTAAGAGCAATTGCTGCATAAAGTGAACCAATAACACCGGCAGCTTCTGTTGAGACAAGGCAACTTATAAGATGATTTTCTGCGGCTGATTGTTCGGAACTATTATTCTCTCCTGAATGAGTGATTTCATCCTGTTTAAAAACTCGTTTTAAATGACAACAAATACGTGACATGAGGTCATAGGAAGCTAAAAGAAGAGTTGAATCTCGTTCTTGATCCAAAAAAAAGTCAGTCTCAATCAATGCTCGACTGTGACGTGACACGCGATCCACAAGACCACCCATCACCAGATACCTGTAAGTCAAAAGGATTAGGGAAATTATATTCAAATTCCAAGTTTCAATTTTAGATAATATATATCAGTGCGGGATTTAATTCATTAGGTGTCAAATTATTGTCATTCATGGACCACCAAGCTATTGTTTTTTTTTCTTCTTCTTTTACTATAGGTTTTTCGAATTCTTTTTATTTTAGATTTTTTCTGCAAAAATATTGGTAATTACTACCAGATTTGTGAAAGTTTTTGGCTAAAAATTTTTTTTTTCATGAAATTGATTATTTTTATTTATAAATTGCAAGTACTGATCTGAATGATGTGAAGCTGACAGACTGTGAAATGTGCATATGGGAGAAGAGGAGAAACTATTGCTTAAGGGATAGCATGTGTGACGGCGTAACACGAGAGGATTATAACATCAGTGGGTAATTCTGCATAGAGTAAGAGTGAGAGAGAGAAAGAGAGTAAAAAAGTGAAAAAGACAGAAGTTGAGCGCGATGCTCATTCTATCGGGTTGTTGTTATTCATACACAAAAACATATATGTATATATATGGATGTTGTCTTTCTCGCCCCCCCCCCTTTTTTGGCCCAATAACCCCTGCTTTTTCTTCTCTCTTCTCTAGTTTTGGAGCCCCATAGTACACTAGAGTATAGGGTGCGTGCTGTCAGTGCGTATTATCGCCACCCCCTTTTACAACCTTGTATGTGAATTTACGCCTGTGCCCCAATACAAACACAAAAAGTGTAAAGCATATAGTATATATATGTATATGTCTGATGCATGAAGACCAACTGTCGTGTCTAATCATAACTATATATATATAGCTAAAAGCTAATCCTCCCGGTGTATCGTCGTGTTATCATTTACAAAAATTTCATTAAAATTTTTTTTTGATATTTGGATCAAATTAATCACAATTCATAATTTATTTGTAATCAATAAATATTATAAATTGTTTTAAAAAAGACTTGAGCACAGAAAATTAAAAGGTATTAAAATAAGCTGCAACACTTATTATTTTAATCCAATTTTGCTTATTTTAATTCATTTTGGTATTAAAATAAGCAAAATTGGATTAAAATAATAGCTTATTTTAATGCCTTTTAATTTTCTGTAAGATAAAATATATAAATTTGTGCGATTTTTCTTGAAAATAATATATATATACTTTATAAATTTTTATTTCGACTGATTTAAGAGAAACTGATTTATCTTCTATTTTTAATATTATACGATATCGTGTGAGACATATAAAAGTATTTTTGAAATCTTTTTAACTGAACTTTAAATTGAAATATTGCAAAACTGTTTTTTTCAAACACTCCGGGAAGTTTTGATGTTACAAATTCTGATATAAATTTATGAGACAGATTTTTGAAAACCAAGTTTAGATATTCCAAATTATAAATAACAGAAAACAGTTTTTTTTTTAATTATTCCAAAACCTGCGCTGAAAAAAAAACTTTATTTGATTAAAATAATCTTCTATATTTGACTATATTATCGCAAATAAATATTTATACTTGAACCAAATAATTTTTTTTTTGAATTAAATAAACTGTATTTGAACCAATAATTTCCGTATTTGAAACAAAATACCATTTAATTGATTCAAATAAAATAATTATTTGATACAAAAAAAATAAAGATTTATTTGATTCAAATCAAAATATATATTTTAGTAAAGTAACCGTAATTATTTGAATGAAATAAATTTTTTCAGTGGAATAATTTTTTGAAAATAAACTATTTTCTATTATTTTTATTTTATATTTACAATATAATTTATAATTATATTATTATTATATATTTATATTATTATATTATTATATTATATTATCATATTATATTATTATATTATATTATTATATTATAATAAAGAATATTTATTTAAAAAAAAAATTCAATATTTTTTTAGTAAATAATTTGATATTATAAATAAAGTTGAAATTTAAATGAATAAGACATATATAAATATCGATTATTGTTAACGTGATAAATAAACACTTAAGCTTCAGTTTCACTTGTAGTCGCGCGAACCAAGTAAGAAATACAATGGACGAACACGAACGAAAATATATGGGGGGGAGGGGCGAGTGTATCGATGTATACTTGTGATGATAGGTCGGGGATTAAATAAATTCGCTAAATAAATGCAACGGGATGCACAAGGCTTTTGGATTAGAATACTTGAATCATACTTAGACCACTTTCCTCAATGAGATATATAAGATTACGTGTGTGGCGCCCCAATACCCCGTATAATAACATGAATAATATTTCCAAAGGGGGAGTAGTTCCTATATATATATATATGTGTATACGGACTCGTGTCATTCGAAGTAATATTCCAAACCAGACAACACGAATTCGTTCCGCTCAACGATTGTTCATCCTGATAATACGATCTGACATATATTCACAGAAAATTACCCTCTAATAAAATGATATTTTAATATTTTTATTCTTTTTCAATCCGGGCTTACCTCATTAGTTGTGTTGTAAAAAAAATATTTTCCTGTGTGACTTGCAATATATGTCAAAAATTTTTTTTTTCAATATGAAAAATAAAATTTTATCCGACCCCAAAAAATTCTTTTGAAAAAGTAATTTTCAAATTTCAATAAATTGAGTTTTTGACACTGTTCTATAAATTTTTATTAAAAACAATTTTCTGAACTTTAATATAACTCTAAATTTAAATTAGTGAGAATTTATTCACTAATTTAAATTAATTCACAGAAAATTAAAAGGCATTAAAATAATAGCAGCTTATTTTAATGCCTTTTAATTTTCTGTGTTAATAATTAATTCAATTACTGAAAAAAATTATTTTATTCAGATAATTGGTTACTTAATTATTAAACAAATATTTATTTGTATCAAATAATTTTTATTTGGATCAAATAAACTGAAACCACAATAATTTCTGTATTTCAAACCAAAAATTGAATAAGATAAAAATTATAGGGTTTATCAAATCTCTATACATGGTCTTACGTCGGGGGGTAGAAGCTATATTCTTATACGTAAGATTTTGCCAAGTTTTTTTCCATTTGTATTGTTGTAATTTATTTCTTAATTACATTAATATTGTTAAAAACTTACGTAAGAAGGGGGAGGGGAGGGTTCGAAAAATCTTATGTATTACATTGGGATAGGAGGGGAGGGGGGGGGGTATAAATTATCCAAAATCGTCCTTACACTGCATAAACTAGCCGTCTTAAAAGTGCAAAAAACGTCTTGTTTTAAGACACATTTGGTGTCTTAGACTCGAAAACGTCTTAAAACAAGACGTTTTTTGCACTTTTAAGACGGCCAGTTTTTACAGTGATATATATACGTAAAATTAATGAATCGCCCCTTAATTGGTTCATAGAAATATTTATTAACACAGAAAATTAAAAGGCATTAAAATAAGCTGCAACGCTTATTATTTTAATCAAATTTTGCTTATTTTAATCAAATTTTGCTTATTTTAATTCATTTTGGTATTAAAATAAGCAAAATTGGATTAAAATAATAGCAGCTTATTTTAATGCCTTTTAATTTTCTATATTGGTAATAGTCGCAATTATTTGAGTATAATAATTTTTTTCCTGTGTATAGAAAAACTAATTTCTGGTATAAAATTAGTTAATTAAAAACTAATTTAAATAAGCGCATAAATTCTCATTAATAAAAAAAAACGAAATTGTTTTATTGAGAGTTAATAATTAGGATTATACTCTCGACTGTAACTTTAATTTGGGATTTAAATCTATTTAACCTTTACGAATGCGCGAGCAAAATGAATGAATGAATGAAATGCGCGAAATCGCATGAGGCAAGAGCAGGACAATAAAGTATAAAACGTGAAGTCCCTTATATATATATATATATATACCTTCAGCGAATATATAAAGATATGCACCCCTACGGGATGCTATGAAATAATCATATGGTTAGCTAATGGTGACCCAGGGGTAGTGATTGCCAGTCCAGGCGTGGATTCCCTTCTGCCTATATACAAGGGGTTTGGATACGGCAGTAATAAATAAATTCAATGTATTTGCTCCAACCCCCCACAAACATTCAATGATAGATCGTAATCTCGACCCAAGCCGACAGCGCGATGCTGATGCACTTGCACGTACTTCCGATTTCCGACCACTTACACATTCTTTTTTTTTTTTTTTTATTTTTTTTATTTTTTAATAATTGATGAATGAGTTTTACAAATACCAATATAATTATCCAACTTATTATCAAATAAATATTTTCTTGGAAAGTTATTTGATACAAATAATCTAAAATTTTTGTCATTTAGGAGTAAAAATCTGTAAATGGGAAATATAACTGAATATTTATAGGATTCTGACGAGATTTAAAAAAAAAAAAAAAGTGAGGATTGTTAAATTGACATATCAAGGATTGACAGGAGAGTGCTGTCACTTTCGTTTTTATTTTGTCTAGGTCTTTGGAGTCTCTCGATATCGATTGTTATATATATATATATAGGGAGGAAAATACAGAAGCACGTTGAGTGCAGTGTGGCGACGGCACACTTGTTACAATATTTACAGAGTCGTCCCTGAATCCACCCCTGTAATCGACCCCCCCCCCTTAGTCTGCGAGTGACAAGTGTCCTCTCTCTTTCTCTCTCCCTAAAATAAGATTCCACCCTCTCTCCCAAAATTCAACCCCAATCGTTTCAGGAAGTACATATTCTGAGAGGTGTCATCTTCTCTCAACTATATATGATATCTGCGTGCTATTATATTTTGCAGAGATGAATAAAAAGTATAAATAGAATTAAAATTTTCATTGTGAGAAAAAAAAAGTTGTACTTTTATTTCATGAATGAATTGATCGAAGTGTTATATTAGAGGGAAATTTGTTTAATCAAAATGAATTTGATAAATTTACAATATTTTATAATGTTGGTGTGAAATTTATTTAATCAAATCAATTTTGCACAGGTCTGTTCATAGCGAGAGGGTTGAATCGGCGAAATAAAGCTTGAAACAAGGTC